GCAGGTGATGAAGGTATATTGCTGCATAAGTAAGGGAAGTTGACGATAGAAAAGTTAAAGGCATCACGTCTATCATATAGTTTGGTTGTTAGATTACCATTAGCGTCTTTTTCAAGTAAAATATCCAAGTATGAAACAGAAGTGTTAGACTTTGTGGTATCTTTTATCTCAAGCTCACCAGGATATATTGCATCGACATGGGAATGGAAATTACCATTGTTAATTGACAATACGTCGTCGATATATCTAAATGTCGAGTTGAAGGCCACAGCAAGTGTTTTCTTCTTTTCACGCATAAGATTTTGCATAAATTCTGCTTCATATGAATACAAAAATAAGTCTCCTAATAACGGAGCGCAATTTGTACCCATTGGAATTCCAATATTTTGTTGGAATACCTGGTCTCCAAAAACCACATACATGTAGATATTGTCAATCAGAAACTCAAGCATCTTCTTGATGTTAACTTCAGAGTACTTATGTATGCAATCAGAATCTGTTTTAACAAAACAATTTTGCAAATGACCAATGGCGAGGTAATTAAATTTACGAGTTCCATTTTTATTGAAGAAGCAGCTGTCAATGATATCAGAAAGCCTGGATTTCAATTTGTCGTGGGGAATTGTTGTGTATAAAGTTGAAAAGTCGTACGTTTTTAAGCTGGTGATTTTTGTAAAGTCTTGCGATTTCAAATTGTCAAAGAGTTCTTTAGAATTTTTAAGTATTCACATCTGATTCACACCACTTCTTGAATATATAGTTGAACAGTACCCTTAAAGTTTTTCCTTCCCTACTGTCAATATCTTAGTGAGGAGTAATGAAAGAGGCTTGGTTGAACATTTACAGGAACCTGCAATGTATCTTTGTAAGGATTCTGATGAAGTTCGGAATCCAATATATATAAGGTAGTTCAAATTCATTTTGGCTCTGTGGAATATTAAAAGAATTCAAAACTGACACGTGATTTTGAAGAATTTCTTCCTTAGAAAGGGAAGTATAAGTATAAGTAGGATTACCCTTTGTAGAATTAAATCCAAGTTTTTCTAAAATGCAATTAACATAATGAACCTTACAAACGAAGACAAAGTTGTTACCTGCTTTGTCGGTAGGAACCAGTACGTACTGATCATGTAATCTATCTAATTCTTTTTTCATTTCAGATTTATTGAAGGATATATGGTTTTCATTTTGCCCCTCAATCTCCTAATATGCGACTTCAATATATAATCAATTTGAAGAGAATTTCAGAACTTTTCAACAAATATTCCCCAGATTCCTTGACAAATATAAAATTTGATTTTCCCAGCCATCTATCTTTAAATAAATGGGAACAATAGGTCACTAAATAAAGTTACTGAAAGTGTATAATTTATGAACATTTGGTTAAAATGTTTTATATTTAACTACTAGTAATGAAAAGAACGGCCAATTACTGATCAAGGTGGTAAATTGTAATTGTTTGTTTTGGAAGTTTTTGAAAATCGGTGATCTTGATCAGGACTTAATTTTTGTTCAATTGATAAACACATTCTACCTGATATTTTTCAAAAGATTTAAATATACATTGACGGATTTTACAGCATTTAAGATAAGAACCAGAAAAAAGAATCGAAAATGAAATTCATTATGTTTGGTTTATTACAGCTGCAGGTTACAAGAAAACTGTGTTAATAAATCAGTATTTTGCAGTAAAGAATAACCGTAGGAAAATCCATGGATTGATAATGCGTGGGTTTTTCGTAATTTTTGTTGAAAAAATTGTTGTAATGGTTACTTTTTTATTTTTTGCACTTTGCAGTCTTTCTAGTGGAAAAAATTGTTTGGAATAGGTGACACATTGCTAATTAAAATAATCGTTTCGGTTATATGACGTTGTCAGCAAAGAATTTACTATCAAATCAAATACTTTCTTCATACTTACTGTTAGGTCATTCAATACACACTGTATTGTCGATAGAGTTACCCGTTATTTCCCGGATCATGACTAATAGCACACGGTGGGTGTGAGTACCGTGTGACAGTCGACAGGGGATGCGCACTCATCCATGGCACCTGATCCCACCACTGGTAATTGGAGGTCCTTGTTAGTTCTGCCTCATTTTCTTTTACAAAATGGAGCGTTTAAGCTTGAATACATAGAATACCTTAGCTTGAATTCGCTATCAACATAAACTTTTCAAAACTGAATGTCATCAATAAAGTATAATTTGATCTGATTTGTCTTAATAATGTTTAGATTCAAAAGCATTAGAATGTCAATTCTTCATTATTTTTTTATAATCAACCATTGAAAAAGGGAGTGTCAATTGCGATAATTAAATTAATTAATATTTGCATCCTCTTTCTCAAAGACAATTTATGACAAGATAATTTATACTCTCCAAAAATGTGAGAAAATTAATAAAATCCAAAACACACAAAAAAAATATCATTCAATGATGCACATGAAAACAATGATTTTTATTTATTTATAGCTTTTTTTTAGTCAGGTGTTGCCAAAAATGGATTATATCTAATTCATTCTGTAAAACATGTAAAAAGTAAACAATCTGTCAATGAACGCCAAAAACTAAATGTAACAAAATTATTTTCCATATCAATTAAAAGGCAACTTTACTTAAATATTTAAAAAATGCATTATTGTTTTGAGTTACTCTTCTTCATATTAAATACAAAGACGTATATTATTTCTTCTTACCTCATAGAATTTATCATACTAGAAATATAATCTTAATATCACATAAACATGTTTTTCTTCAAGAATTAAAATATCTTTGCTGTATAGGAGAAAAGTGCCTTTCTCACTAAAGAAGTGATATCAACTTTATATTTGGTCAAGTAAGCATAATTTAGTAAACAACGAAAAAATGTTAAATTTATATTTTAAAGAAATATGGAGAATCTTTCAAAATGGAGAAAACAAACAATATGTAAACTCAAAGTCTATTAAAACAATACCAATCCGGAGCAGAGCAAACGCAGACCTCCAGGAAAATCAGAAGTGGGATCAGGTGCCATGGAGGAGTTAGCATCCCCTGAGCATCCATCGAAACATGTCTCACCCGCACTATGCTCCTTATAGTGTTGACACTATCAAATTTTTATTGATAGAAAAAAGTACACTTTTTCCAGTGTTCTTATTTTGCCTTTCTATAAGCAGACCTATTTTTGCACTCAGATGAAGCAGAATTAGTTTTAAAAAATGTACATGAGAAAAGAAAATTGATGTGATCTAGAAATTATTAAGATATTTTGACAACAAATGCATGTACCTGCTTGCATATTAGACTGCTCCCGAATTTGTTTTTCTTCGATGGACATTTGAGCTAAATCACCTTTTGTTTTCCATCTGTTTTATATTGATTCAAATTAGTTTTGCATGAAGTGTTTTGTTCCTGTCCATAATTTTTAGAGATGCAGATTATAAATTGTTTCCACATCTTGCAGAATTTCACTGATTTTAATCATATATGTATTTATAAATCAATGTTTTATTGACATTATGCATTGTAAGAAAATAAAAAAAGATTTTTAAAAAGTTACAATCTGTTTGGTCGAAAATAAGACATAATGAGGCATGCTTCATGAAAATTATAAAAACATTTGTTGTCGTTATAAAATCCGTTGAACAATAAAAGAATGAATAATTACTATTTTTTAAGCGAAAATGTAAAAATTTAAAAACTGTGCATAAATTAAACCTTTGGACATTCAAATTGATTAGAATAAAAAACGTTTTTCTGCCATGATAAAGAAATGCACTGGTATGGTATTCCATACTGTGAATACCTTATTTTAGTTACACGTGGAATAAGAATAACAGCTTTGGATATTCCAGTCTATATACAAGGAATGAAAAAAACATCATAAGGTTTTGTGCGTGTTTTACGCTTGTATTTAGGTAAACCCATCGAAAAATCCTACATATTGAAAATATTAAACTATATTTTTTAATCATGTAACTGAAATTCCGATCAGAACTGGTTTAGTTTTTAACAATGCATATATTTTAAGGCTCAATTTGTACATTTATTTACGAATGAAATTGGAAATACCAGAGAACTAGTTGTCAATAACGTGATTATTCATGTGATCTATCAAACCTAAATGGAGATATGTACGATGCATCAAACTTATTTTGTACATCTATGGAGTTTTTTTTCTATTATTTGAATAATATATAAATACCTTCAGACTACTCAGTTTATCTGTAACCTTGTGAGATCGTCTATAGAAAGGTAAGACTTTACTTTTAAGTACCTTAACAAAAACCTTTCTCTAAGCTATGCATATAAATCTACAGTTTTAATTTTCTAGAATAGTTCTGTATTATTTCAAAATATTACATTATATTTACTAGTATATTGAATTTTATTATGGCACCTGATCCCACCTCTGATGTTCTGGAGATCTGCGTTTACTCCTTGATTTGTAATGTTCCATGGACTTTTGAGCTCGAATACTGTTTGTTATCTCCACATATTTCATTTATATAAACTCATTAAATGTAACTCCATCATCTTCATCTTCATTGTAAGAAACATTTGCGTTATACCATGCGTTTGTTATTGTTTATTTTGAATTGATTTTGAAAAAAAAACTTATATGTATCACATTTGAATAATGATACAAAAACTGGATATTTTATCTTTTCTTCATATTTACTTTAAAAATTATACAATGCAATATTTTGTGCATATTTTGCTTCTTAATAGTGATCATAATTTTTATCTTACTGACTACTTTCTTATTCATGTATATCGTCTTATAAATATAAAAAGTAAAATTGTAATTCTTCTAACTGAATATGTGAGAAAACGTATTATGTACAATATATTACGGTATCTAACTGTAAATCCAGCAAGAGCCATCTTATAACAGATTTTTTTTCCAATTTTAGGACTGCAAGCTATTCCCCATTAATTCAAAATTCAAATCTTCCAGGGCCTGTTTTCTTTATGCAATGCTTCAAAACGCAGTGGTTTTCACGATAATTTTTCTTAAAACTCGAATTCAATAATTTGTCAAATTCCGACCGACAGAAAACGGAAAATATTATTACTCACACCCATTTATTTATCTATGTGTAGTGCAAACTGTGCAAGTATCGGTCCAATGGTTTTGGAAAATATTTCTTCTAAATAGAATAGTCAAAATCACATATTTGTGTATTTTCTAGCTTTGGAGCCTTGATTTGAGCAGATATGATTTTTCATTTGAGTATCCTGTTATTAACGTTTTCAAGTGTCGGTGCACTATGGCCGCTATGTCCTCCAGTATGTATATCTGATAAGTGAATAAAATCTCAAACTTTGATTTCAACTACTAATTTTTTTACACAATATATATTTTTTCCTCAATAACTCAATCATACACATGAAATAATCGAATGAAATAATGAAAAATAAACTGATTATCCGTTTCATTTATTTTGGAATAAGAAAAACATATTTGTATTTTCGATAAACATTAACAAAATTTTGATATAATTAATTAAATATTTGTGATTTTGAACCTAGCGATTGTTGCAGGATTGTCCTGGGAATCTAGTTTGTGTCGACGGAATGTGCAAGCCCTGGTGTAAGTATTAAACATTTCAGAATTTAACAATTAAATTGCAGGAACATTTCAAAATCATTTAAAGCAAAACTTGTATATTGTAAGGCTTTTTTTTATTTTCCATTTATCATGTTTTATATGAACATAAATTAAATACCTTTACATTACGTTATACCCGGTATCAGCTAAAAAATATCCTCTATAAACATGATAAAGATATTTAATCTTACTTACACTTTATGCATTGGACCGTGTGTATGTGCCGTAAAGTCACAAAATCCCCATTGACATTTCGAATAGATCTTTTCATTGGAATCCGCACCCTTGACGTTAGTTCAAGAAAAACGTTTATGTTCTCCGGTGTCATTTTACAAGTTCACTGAAGAAGGATATGGAGATAATGAACAGTATTCGATATCAAAATCCATAAAACAAGTCGCCGGCGTGGCGCAGTGGTTAGAGCGTCTGCTCTAGAGTTGCAAAGTAAGGAGTCAATCAATACGTCGCGGGTTCAAATCCCACTGTGGGATATGGAGACCGGTCCTTCGCATGAGACCGTATAAATCGAGGTCCCGTGTCGCAGTAGGTGCTGGCACAAAAAAGATCGCTCCCTGTTCAATGGCCATGAGTGACGAGTATAGGACACTCAATTTGCAGCTCTCCACCGGCAAGTGGTGGCGTCTCCATATGAGTGAAAAATTCTCGAGAGGGACGTTAAATAATATACAATCAATCAATCAATAAATCCAAAAAACAATACAAAATAGGAGCAGAGCAAACACGGACCTCCGAAACATTAAAGGTGGGATCAGGTGCCATGGAGGAGTGAGCATCCCTGCTCACCGGTCACACCAGCCGTGTGCTCTTTGTCATGATCAGATAATAACGGAAAAATCTGTAGTCAATTCAGTGTATTCAGTGTTCAACTGACAAACAATTAGTATGAAAAAGTCAGTCATGATTTGACTCAATGATAAATTGTTTTTGCTGACAAGGCCATTGTATCAACCATAGAACTTACAAAATGATGCCTTTGAACGAGACTGCTGATATTTTTGTGTCATCAACTTGCTTGTCAATAATTCACATCTTTTTAGAAATTTCTCATACGTAGAGCATGCTCTTGTGTATCGAATAATTTACATCGTTTTAGAAAGTGCTCATACATAGAGCATGCTCTTGCGTATCGAATCAGCTGAGATATATACACAGCTAGGTTTTTGCACACACCTACATGTATAACCTTGAATAGACCATATCGCATCCATATTAAAGTTATAGAAACAGAAAGTTGAATAGATGATTTTGTCATAAAATGTTTTTCAAACATTTTCCTCGGTAATATATTAGCACGTTTATATCGCCATCATACTCCATGTATACGTATTGGTGCAGGTGCAAGTTATTATATTCATATTTTTAAAGAGTAAGAGCACATCTTATGCATAAAATGGTCCTGTACTTATATCAATTAATAAACTATCACCCTCTTTTCCATTTCATATATTAAAATGAAATAGACACTTGGTGCTTTCATTTTCTATAACAAAATTTCATTTTGAGAATTCTCATATTGGAAAGCAGGCTTTGAGAAATTGCAATGTTCGTGAAATTTGCAGAAAATATGGGTATTTGACTACCTTCAGCAAAGAATTAAAATATGAGCACACCCCACGATCCAAAAAAAACAACATGTTTTTTGATCTTCAGAAACAGAGCTTTGATAATGTATTTGCATATTTTGGATCAGAGGTTGTGCTCTATATGAAATATTGAAAAAATGTTTCAACTTTAGGTCATTTTCAAAGGAATTTACAGGATACGAGAAAAATGACGCAATTTATGACGTCATAATGCATTGACTAGAATATAAAATTACGTCATGATTAATAGATACTGTAAACCAACTTTTATTCGCGTGCGAGAAATTTTCGCGAAGTTCGCGAGAGCCTCGTCATCGCGAATATTTCTCGCCGCGAACCGGTCCTGAAAGTCTTTGTTGTATTAACAACAGATTCAAAAACGGTTTGATCGCGAAAATTAGTCGTCGCGAACGAGTGTAGCCGCAGTAAATCGCGAAATAAAGTCGTCGCGAATAAAAGTTGGTTTACAGTACGTGGTCACCAACACTCCAAGTGATAAATACTGCATTTGCAACCTAAACTGAGCGGTTTTGATTTTTCAGAAATTCTCAGGGCCAAATAAGGCTCAACGTGGCTGTTGCTCTTTTCCGTGAAAAATCTCAAATCAAGATTGTTTAAATATTTCTAATGGATATATTTAAGGAATGTTTTTAAGTTTTGTGTGAGTTATTGGTGTGTGAATCACACAGACTTGTCACGTTGGCATATTTCATGAAGCGCGCTAGCGCTTCATGAAAAATATGCCTACATGCAAGTCTGTGTGATTCACACACCAATAATTCACACAAAACTTAAAAACATTCCTTATATTTACATTTTACATGTTTGGAAGCAACTAAAATATACTCAATATTTGAATTTCTCGCTGTCCTATATCGCTGCATTTTTACTAACGTCGCTGCAGCCTCATTGTGACGTCACTTTAACGCACGTTTCCCCGTGTATATTTCTACGCGTGAGTATACACAAAAATGACTTTCAAATCAATTTCACAGTTGGCTTAGTAGAAAAATACAGCGAATGTAAATATTTTGTAATAATATCTATATTAATACTGTAGTATTACAAAAAAAAATAACTAGTGGAAACATACATAGATACTAGTACCTAACATTTCATAAAAAAAAGAAAATGTTAAAATTCGGATTTGCATATTGCGGATATTCATTTTAGTTAATTTATTTTTGTCAGTTTGATTACATGTATATCATGAGAAGGATGTGGAGATAACGAACAATATTCAATCTCAAAGTCCATTAAACAATAATAAAAAATAGGAGCAGAGTAAACACGGACCTCCGAAACATCAGAGGTGGGATCAGGTGCCATGGAGGAGTGAGCATCCCCTGCTGACCGGTCACACCCGCCGTATGCACCTTGTCATGATCAGGAAATAATGGAAAAATCCGTAGTCAAATTCAGTGTCATCTTATAGATCCTAAATGGTAATATCATTTCGTCTTTCGAAATAGAAGTAGGCATCGAATGATTGGTAAGAGTATTTTTTTAATTCTTAATGTCAAGAGAAAACGTAATGACCTTGATCTTACCTTAGCTTTAATATAAACCGGACAAATTTAATCTTTTTGATCAATTAGTTTTACTGTCTTTTTGATACTGTGACAATTTCCTTTATATTTAATTACAAGATGTATGAAAAGTCATTCTAAACCAATATTTTACTACTTGATCCCTTTTATGCCTGATCACAAAGTGCGAGGTCGATATGCTTTTCTGTTAAGTCTATTTTCTATGGATTGACCTTATGAAAGGGCTACATCTCTTTTATTATTTTTTAAAGACAATGTAGAAAAATAATGAAATTTTCACACAAAGATTAAATTAAAGCTTATTTATTGTGGCACCTTTACGTATGCCGATGTACCAATCAATAAAGCTACATTTGTTTACCTATATTTTTTTAATGAATTTATGAGGAATATATTTAATTATTTTCACCATGAAGTAGATTAATATTCAAGGTATTTTTTACCTTTTTACAATTATCACAGGTCAACACAATTTATTATGATATTTAGATTTAACGTATCCATTATTTTCAAAACATATGCATAATATCATATTTGTTATGCTAAGTCAATTTACACAATTGTTTAAAACAAGATTGTTTCTATGATTTACAAGCATCAGATCGATATGCATGTCAGAATCTTTCAATAGGAACACGTCTGTATGTTGTTATATTTCCATTTCTTATTTTCCGTCTTCATGTCCTCAGCATACCATATTTCTTTTTATAAGTTTTTTATAGATCGACCGTTGTTTGTTATCCATCCCTTTCATTCATATACCGCCTAAGCAAACATATATCATTGTTTTACATCAGAACGTCTATATTGATTTGTTTGTATCTAATTCTAAAAATAATATTTTAAAATCGATGTTTTGATACGATATCATAAAATTGAAGTAAACAGAGAATGTGTAATAAAATATGTTTAAGCAATAAATAAATACTAATTTTGTGCATTAATAAAATTTAATAAAATTTGATTTTTTATAAGTTGATAGATATAATCACATAAAAAATTCGCATGTTATGATACAACAAGAAGCCCAATTGGCAATAAGTTATTATTCAAATCCGTATTCAGAGCATGATCAAATAAACGACGTGTTCATCAATATAACACTAGATTTTTTCAGCATTTGTTTTCTATTGTAGGGAACTACTGCAGTTCGGTAAGATACCTTTGAGCACTAGTTTTTAAATTTGACTGCATGGCAATTAGTTATCTTTAAGTATGTTTTGATATAAATTCAGGTTATTGTATACATTTTTAACAATAAGTACAAGGGTTGATCCAAAAGTAATGTCACGATAAAATTAACACTAGTTGACTTAAAACCACAAAATTATAAGTGACAAAAGCTTTTATAATTTCAAATCATGCATAAAAATTTCCATTCAACGTGATTTATACTTGTGAAAATATTGGATTTTATACTATGTGCAACTTTGGTTGTAATAGATACACGCCGTTATACATTCAAACGATTAACATTAAAAAAAAATTATACACGTGTACGTTTACGAATTTTTGGTACGCACAGCACAGTCTCTCTTTTCATAATTAAGTCCTCTGTCTAAATTCTTTGAAGAGTACCATAGGATAAAGTGTTCATATTCCTTTACATAACAGATAACGCATTTCTTTTCACAACATCAGACACCAATATTTTGGTCTTCCTCTCCAGTGTTGATCATTCAATGTTCCATCGTCCTCCCAAAAATCGATGAACTTATAGATCTATAAACAAGACTTTAATTAAGATTCTTTTCAGTGTGTGTTTTAACTATTTAATTAATTTAATTTATCAACGTATCTGTGTTGACTGACAATTTCCTCATTTTTTAAGCAAAAATGCAAAATGCATTACGGGTTTTTGTGGCGTTTTTTCCAATTTTGACACTTCTTTTGTTCAAAGAATCAAAGTAAAACGGTTTATTATAAAAAAAAACAGCTATGGCGTCAATCATTTCTCAACTGGTGATAAGAAAATGACGACAATTTTGTCTTTTAAAAATTATTAAGCGACTAGCCTTGTCGTATTCATGCTTTTTTAACATGTTCGTGCTTTTCGTCTTAAAAAGGTATTCGTGACGTTAAGTTGTGACGAAACGACACTCCCTATGTTTCATGATTTAAACATCTGTAAAATGAATTTATTTAATATTGATAAACTAAAATTCCAATGTTAATTAGATTTGTATACGTGCCTTTTTGGTATATTGTTATTGATAATATGACGTCAAATAGAAAAAGATATAGGCATTGTGATATTACTTTTTGATCAACCCTCGTATGTTGAATGAAACTACAAACACCATAAACCTATGGTGTTTCAATCTTACAAAAACCTCTAAAGCAATCATATCATAATATTCCAGTGAGAAATTACATGTAGATAATATATTCAATTAATTTATGTTAGCCTTTTAAAATGTTAAAAATACTTAAATTGAGTAATATATTGTAAATTTCTATTTCTTGAAATTTAGATCTAAGAGCAGATCACTCTAACTGCAGACAAATACCATAGAATCGGAACTCTTTTGTGTGAAACATATGGAGATAACGAACAGTATTCAAGATCCAAATTTAATAAAACAATACAAAATAGGAGCAGAGCAAACACGGAACTCCGAAACATCATAGGTGGGATCAGGTGCCATGGAGGAGTTAGCATCCCCTGCTGACCGGTCACACCCTCCGTTACTTCTTCTCATGGTCGGAAATTAACGGAAAAATCAATCGTCAATTCAGTGTATAAATAATGGACTAACAATTAGTATGAAAAACGTCAGTGTGTCCTTGGCTAAGTTGATCCATCATTTGAACAAACTAATAATCTTCAATACCCTTCAGCAAATGATGCTTTGTAATAAGATGGTTTGAGAATTGCTCAGCGTAGAAGAAGGCACAAACGAGCACAGCTTTCAACTGAGCCAAAATTTAAAAAATGTAAATATAACTTGAAAAAGAACTGGTAAAAACGCAAAGTTCAAAAAGAGGTTTCAAATTTAATAGAATACAAGTTCTTGTGTAAAACTCGTTTAAAAAGCATTTATAATTTGAAATTAAACACTTGTACATTTCACACACATTCTTTGTTTGGTAATTTTGGTTTATGTTCATATGGGTGTTGTTTTGAAAACATGACTGCACTCCAATGATTTGTACAATTAAAATAGTACAAACTTTAACGTGATAAAAATGATATTTATTTAAATTTTAACCAATTAAACCTGTTTTTTTCAGGATTTAGACTGTGAATTTTTTGAAGTTTGTGTACATGGAACATGCCAGATAGGTAAAACATCAAAGCAATTATTGAAATAATTACAACTAAAACATTCGCACCTATACAAAGGCTGCCAGAAGAATTTAATTGCTTTCAGATCATATCATTACATTTCCATTGCACCGAATAAAAGTTTGTTTAGTTTGTATGAATTAGAAAAACTTTTTCCGTAGTGGTTAAAAGTCTGTTCCAGAACCAGGGAGTAAGGAGTTTATCCTTACGTTGCAGGTTAGATTCCCAATGTGGGACGTGGAGACTGGTTCTTCGATTCATATATAATCATGTGAAATGACGTGAGCTGTTGGGGTAGTATTTCTGTTTCAAAAATATCAAAGACGAACATATAGACAGATAAAAAGTATACACCCAAAACGACGATTTTGGGCGCGTATAAATTCTCAGAGAACAAATTCTTGTCCTCTAAAACACCGAACCCCTTCTACTCCCATTTATACACATCAAGTACCTATAATAATTACTAGTTATTTGTTTTAACGCGACACAATATCATTATTTTGATCTTTAAACGAACAGTCTTTCATATACTTGGATCTATCGGGATGCAAAGCTAGATTTGCGTGATCGGCTGGATCTTTATAATCCAATATTAAAGAGAGAAGGACTCTCAATCTGGAGAGAAATGCAAAAAGGTCCAAAT